CCCACCCTCTCGCAGGGGCGGGGCCGGCGGCGGGGCGGACCCCGCGCTCGGCCGCGGGCCAGCCGGGACTGACACACAGCTGTTGGCAACAGCTGGATGTCGTCCGTCCGTCCCCTCCCGCCCCTACCCGTGGGGCGGGAGCCTGCCCTTGGAGTCGCCAGGCCAAGGGGCTGCTTCAGGAGGGCCCCGCGGGCGGGCTGGGTGCCCTCCGAGGCAGGTTTGCCCCGGGCCTGTGCAAACAGAAGTGCCGGGATGGAGGGTCTTGTGGGGTCACCGCTGCCCGGGCAGCCGGAGACCCCGCGGGCAGAGCCGGCTCACTGGGAGCTGGCGGTCCTCAAATGTTTCCATCCCTCCCCGAAGGCGTGTGGTGAAAGCCTTGTGCCACCCTCGCTTACCTCTCTCCCCAGGCTAGGGATGCTATGGTGCCGCAGCACTTGCATTATTATTGTTGTGGTGGTGGTTGTGGTTCTTGTTATTGGTTTGGACACAGGATGAAAAAAACACCCCAAACCTGGTAAAGCTGCTTCCCTTGTTTTCCTCTTTTGCTGCCTCTGCCCTGTGCTGGGACTGGGAAGGATGCATAGGAACAAAAAGAAAAGAACGTCTGTGTGACATGGAGAGGCAGAGGACTGTGGGAGTTGGGGGGGGGAGACTCACAGGGAGACAGGAAGGATGGAAGGAAGGTTAAAGATTGGGGAAAACAGATGTGCAGATGTGTATAGACTTCTAAACCATTCCCTTGTGGCCTCAAAGTCTTGATAAGTACTGGTGTCTTTTTCCTCTTTCTCCTACTTTCTCTGTTTTGTTAGACTTTTTCCTGTGAAGTCCCTTTCTCCCTTAGAAAAAGGAGCAATGCATCAGTTGCAGGAGGGATTTTCACAAAGATCTTCAGCCCCTCTGCTACCAAAGGTTAACCATAATAACAACATTACCCCTAAACTTGCTTGCCCTGTATCTAACCTTGGCCCCATTTGATTTTTTCAGCAGCCATTGTCCTAGTTCTAATGGCCTGTACAATATTAGGTCATGCTGTCACTAAACCCTACTAGATCCTTCAGACTCTCCAGATTAAATCATTTGGTTTAATATGTTAGGACTAACTCAGGCTGAAGCCTAGCAGCCCTAGCAGGATCCAGACGTAGATGTTGCTTTTCAGCTCAAGCTATGACAAGCCCTTAACCTTGGCCTGAATCCAGTTAGGCCAGCTAACTCTGCCCCAAAATTTCTCCCAGCATGGCTCTCATGCTGGTCTGGAACATTGTGTTAAACCTGACACTGCAGCCGCTTCTGTTCCAAGGGCTACTTGTAACCTTAAACTCTGGCCCAGTGACCTGAACTTAAATACCAGCCCAACTAGAGGTGTCAGCGCCCAGTAGCACACTGCAGCCCACAAACAGCTTAGGAGTACATTTAAGTTCTCAGCCCCTTGTGGACCCAAAAGATGAACTTCCCCTAAAACCAAACATAGCCCATCCCATCCCATTTCCTTTCCCTTGCTGTGCCCAGCACTCCTGCATGTCTTGTGGCATCTGCAGGAACGGTGAATTAGCCTAGTTTTGCAGTCATTACCCAAACTCCTGTATTAAGGCCAGAAAAGCAACACTTGGCTGTGCCAGAACTAATTGCAGGTGTATTTAGGAATTTGCCTCTTTCAGCCCAAGTGGAAGACTGATGACTTTGGCAGACCCAAACGCAAAACCGAGCCTTTTGGTCTAACAGCAGCAGCAGGTCTTCCAGGATGCAGAAACAAAACCTAACTTTCTGCATTTATGTCCCAACAAAAGACAAGCTTCCTGCATTTAGATAGCATTCATCAGGCAGCCCTTGCTCTAGTCTGAGTCCTTCTGACACAAATCCAAACACAACCACAATACCATCATTAACTTGAGGTCCAGGATACACTTCTTAATAAAAAACTCCACAGCTTATTTCCTTCAAATGTCCCTAATCTGCTTACTGTTTTTGCAGCGTTTACAGGTTCCTGTAAAGAACAAGCCTCTTCTGGTCCTTCTCTCCTAAGGCACAAACCTGGTTCCAACCAAACGTAACCTTAAACTAAGAAAGGTAGCCCCCACAACAATAGACCTAACTTGCACTACAACACTACTACCTTCATGCGACAGGCCTACAGACCCTACAAGAACTGAAAATACGTCTTCAGCCCAAATTGTTGCCCATTAGATTTTTCTGTGTGCCAAACCTCATCTTATTTCAGTGGTGCCTACAGGATTCACATACAATGTCAGCAGGCCTTGTCCTTCTTTTCCTAACCTTAAACTGAACCATAACTGTTGTCAGTATCACAGCCATTGCAAAAACCATTGGTCATGGAACCACAATTCTGTAATCTCATTTCTCTCACACCCTAATCCCAATCTTCAACCTAACCATAGTTTAAAGTTAAAAGAGGTGACGCTGCTATCCTGCTCAATCTCACTAGTACTGTCCTCCTTTTTTGATATTCCCTAGAGGATTAACATGGGCACACAATTCTCCATCCAGTTCTCTCTCAGACCTTATCTTTGTCCCTAATTCAACTGTTTCTCAGTCTTAATCATCACTTTAACTTGGTTTATCCGAAGAGAGGTGACCTTTATCGTATGGAAACGACTTAAAGACCATTTGAACACTTCAGGAATATATTGTATAACTCTCTCCTAAACCATATGTTAGCTCCAAATTTTAGGCTAGTCTTAACCCAAAGGAGGTGACCACAAACACCCCAGGAGGGTAGTTCTTTCATATTACATCCATTCTGGATATGTTTTGGCCTGATTAGGGCTTTTGTCTAGGGCTAGGGGTTCAGTATAGTGAAGCTTGACAGGCGAGGTTCAGCTATGGAACCTGTAGGTACCACCAGAAGCTGATGAAGCTGGATGAATTCTGAGTTAAGGATGTGACTAGAGTTAGCTATTGGTTGGACGGTGATTACCTGGCTACGTTGGATGTATGACTAAGTTTGCAGTCAGGCTAATGGGTTTGACGATTTAAAGGCATGGACTGTACAACATCTATTGTGCTGCAGGGAGGTTGGTGGGCATCTTCACCGATGTCATTATCCAAATTGCTTGAGATAATATGTATTTTGTATTTTGGGATGAGTCAGCAGGATGACTTACTGCTAGGCATCTGGTTGTAGCTTTGGAATGCAAGTGTGGAAGAAATTAATTTGTTCATATATCCTGAAAATTTTGCAGTAGTGATGCCATTGGTGAAAGCGTGACAGTTCAGGCAAGCAGTGAGAACATGTGGAAGGATGGGTGTATGCGTAGGGCATCCTGGGAGAGATATGAATCTGGGGTTCCTGAACCCTTGAAGAGATTTAGAAATTGAACCTGGGTCCCCCGTGTTCTGGTAAGAACCACAAACAGCAGACCACTGTAAAACCTGAGAGAAGTATCAGTCCCTTAGGTAGCTATCTTGGCATTTTCAGGATCTCACTTTTGAATCAAAGTAGAAGCTAGGTCCTGCTGCACTCTTTTATATCCTTGTGAGTTTCTCCCAGCTACGTAGATATTGTTGCTGAAGGCTGTTGTAGCTGACGATTACCTTCTGTGTAATTTTAAAGGTTTTAAAAATAGATGTCTGAAGCTATACATTAAAAAGTGTTCTAAGGTTTCTTTTGGAACCTAGTAACATGACTTAATGGGAGGAAGCCCCAAAAGCTATCAGTTACAATTAATTGTTTTTACTCAGAGATTTTGTGGTTTTGCTCTCAAGGTAAGATAGAATAGACAACTTGCCAGCTTACCAAATGTTACCACTAACTGGTATCAGCGTAACTGTAGTATCATGCTTTTTATT